GATGGAACCCCAGCTCCTCCAGTCCGCATGTCAAAGTGTCCCTGAGCAAGATACTGAACCCCAAAGACTGTGCCATCGGTGTGTGAGTGTGCGTCGATGTGAATTACTTTTGATCCTGACACATTGCATGGCAGCCTCTGCCACCTTTGTATGAATGTGTGTGTGAAAGGGTGTAATTGACATGTAGTGCACACTGCTTTTAGTGGACAGAAGACTAGAAAGGCGCTATATGAATGCAAGTCAATTTACCACTGAGATTGTTTTCCCATATAGAGTAAAATGCAAGGGCGTAGGTTTGGTCTCAGCATTGGTAGGGACACTGCCAGTCCCCCCGCCTGCCATCTAAAAAAGTCTTAGTTGATATCAGGGGCGTTTCTAGGATTCAAAGAAAGGGGGGCTTAGCCCCAAGGGGAGTGGCATGTTTGTGTGCGTAGTGTGCGGCAATTTTTTTTGGGGCCCATTTGGGGCCGCGGATATCCATTGTTTCAGACAGTTCATAGATTGGTTTAATTAGAAAGAGTGTGATGTTGCTCTGTAGTTTTGCTTGCATTCAGTATATGATAACACAAGAGACAGAATTTGAGGGTCATAGTGAAATTTGACAACACAAATATGAACTTTTCTGAAATAAAGAATATCCGCGTCACTCCAAAATCCTAATTCTTAAAGGGACCGCACACAGTGGATGGAGAATGGACCTGACAGTGTCAACTTTATGTCGTTAAGTATGATGATAGGCTATTGGATTGTAATTTGAAGGGGGAGAAAACATACAAACCAGAACGCACGCACATATGTAGCATGTTAGATTTATAAATAACTTGTCCATGTGAGAAACAATAGTTTAATTTAATGACATCACCAAAATAAAAAAATATATTTTTTTTTTCTTCTTCTTTTTTTTTAAAGCCAATAATGCCAAATTATTTGACGACGCCCCTGGTTGATATTATGTTGAACAGGCAAACTTTATTAAAATATATTAACATTTGTGTAACTTGGAACTGATTTAAACATAATAACAGTAACAAAACAGTATTCTGCACCAAATAAATAATAATAACAATAAATAATTAAATAAATGAATAAAAAACGTTCTGCTAAAATGCCAATATACAGTAACAGTATATTCTATATCCAAAATATATATTAAAAACTTTTCCCAGTTGTGCAGCCAAAAAAAGACAAAAAAAAAAATATTTAAAATGAATCTATTCTGCAGCACTTAATAGGCTACAAATAAAGTGCTTTCCTCCTTTATGCAATTATTAGTAGTGCTGGGCAACGATTACAATTTTTAATCGCAATTAATCGCATGGATTTTTGCAATTAATCTCATTGTTATTGTCACGATCAGGCTTTGCCCTGTGTTCTGTGTCTTTGTGTGTTTCTTTCTGTAGCTCCTCACTCACCTAATCAGTTCATTCAGTGCACCTGCCAGTCACACTCACCTCATCAGCTCATTACTCTCACCTGCTCACTCTGCCTCCTTCACTATTTAAACCCCTGCCTCACACACACTCACTGCCAGATCATTGTTTTGTGTTCCTACCCGCCCGCCCGCTTTGCTCGTCCTGTTCCCGGTTTCCCATTCTGCCTGCCCTGCCTTGTCCTGCCGGATTTTCCTCCTTTTGTCTTGTCCCTGGATTCCCTGTTTGTTTTTGGTTATTCATTAAAACCCTTTTTTCACTACACCTGACTGTCTGCGTTTGAGTCCTCATCATGCCTCGTGACAGTTATGGCAAAGTTCAATAATGAATTCAAAAGTAGTGTATTGCGCACTTTTTACTGCTATATGAACAAAAGGGCAATAACATTTGGTTTGTAAACACTTTAAACAAATAAGGTTATTGTTAGCAGCAGTATTCCCTTTACACAGTAGCAGTTCTATCTCTTCACTATCTGTGCTCAGTGTGTGACTGTATGTGAAACGTTCCACTGCTGTGAAACAGGAATAAAATGTTTCAGCACGTTTCAGCAAAAATGTCTGTCTTCATGACAGTCAGAGCATGTGAATGCAGCTCTACTGTTCATCAATATAATGCTGTAACTCCGAGGTGATGATGGTTACCCAGCGATCAAAGAATAAACACACTTTACCCACAACTTCGGTGTATTTTCCCTTTAACTCACGAGATGCAGCATGTTTTATACTTAATGTGAATATAATTCATACATTGTTGGCATCTTATTCTGAAAACTGGATGTTCGTCTGAAGAAACCGGATGTTGTCTCACGTTAATCTTTCCGCTATCTTTCAAAGTCCTTCGCTCGCTCCCGATCTGTGCCGTTTAAATGCGTTTACTGTGAATTTCAGCATATAGGTGCACTAAAGTGTAAGTGTCTGCTGAGTTGACCACGGAGATCTGAGTGTCTGCTTATTTTTTCTAACAGGCAATTAAAATTAACAAAATATTGGTGGGGACAATTGTGTCTTTCCCGAACTTTGGTCGTGACTAGTCCCTATGGACCCTATGCAAACCTACGCCCTTGGTAAAATGGACAATAAAGCAGGTTATGCTTTAGGGGGGGGCTACCTTGTGACTGACATGTCGCTACCACGGTTTTGTCCGTTTACAATGTGTTTTCAATTCATGGAAGTTAAATATAACATTTTGGCCCCCCAAAAAATGTCTTGTGCAGCATTCGGTTGTAATTACTAGTTCCAGACATCTCGGAGGTCAAACTTTTCCCAGTTGAGATTTCCAACTTCCGACCTTCAAGACCAAAAAACCAAGATGGCGACCGCCAAAATTATGAACTCAAGGCTTCAAAACTGTAGTCCCCAAAACCAATGGGTGGCGTCACGGTGACTGTATCCACTTCTTATACACAGTCGATGGTCAGACACCTGAAAGGTGTTTTGCTGGTGAAGCCTGTTCCTGCTCCCTGCAGAGTTAGCTCTATTTAATCAGTGCTTGGCTCCACACCTAGCTTTCTGTTCACTGTGACGAATGTGCTTGTGCTCTGCTAACTTCATTAGATTTATCACGTTGGGGTGAGTAGCACGCTTACATGCGCTGTGGAGAAACAGCCCACCATTCACAACACATTATGAAGTGCACTGTTACGGTGCATAGAACTGAAGAGATGACTGAGCTGGCGGCCCCGTAGGTTGAATGAGCGTGATGCAAGCGCACGAATAACACAGGTGATAAGTAGCCTCTGCAAGCAGACTGGCAGCTATTCCTATTCAATCGCCAAGGTTACAGCGACACACAAGCACGATGTATGAGAAGAAAAAAGGTACAAAGATGAGTTTTTTTAACTGAAGGTTTAAATTACGCGTTTTAAAAAAAACAAAACCAAAACATAGAGATAAAGATATTTTAAAATGGGTTTCCTGTATTTACTGTTTGTTAGTCACATTGTGCAAAATTGAGTTACTTTTTCCTCCGGTTGCTGAAATAATTAATTTTCCAATTTCCAGAGCCAATTATGCATGAAGTTGCCAGATTTTCCACAAGGGACTGCTGGAAAGAAACATCTTGAGCGCTAACTACAAACTGCATAACCGCCCTGATCCTCTTAATGTCTGTCTGACGGATTAATCGGGGCTAAATACTGCCGAAAGTCTGTGTTGTGGTGTAAGAGAAGTATAGGGTTGAATTTCATTTCATTGGTTGTTATCTTGGAAAACGGGTTCAGATCCCCAGTGACAGACATTGCTGTGTTGTATAAACATAAAAAGAGGATATGCATGAATGTATGTATAGTTGACGTATGTGCATAATAGAGAACAGAGAAAGAAAGCCAGAAGAAGAGTGGCTTTCTATGTGATGGCGCATGTGTGTGTGTGTCTGTGGGCTTTCAGAGCCGGTGGAAGTTTTCTGGCTGGAAGCTGTCACTGCTCATTATGTCAGTGCTGTCATAACTACTAATGGGGGAGGTACAGGAGAGAACATGTCATTAGACTCAAACATATCAACACACACAAACTGGAGATGAAAAAACACATGCACACATATACACGCCTCGTATACTACCGTGCTTCATGTTTTCCAGAAAGCATTTAAATAATTTTCTATAAAATTATCTTTTTTATAAAAATAACAGTGTGGGAGCGGTTGTCACGGCATTGCTGTTATGTTACCTTTTTTCCCTAAGTCTTTGCCTGTATCGGTCTGTTTTTGTCTGTCTCTATGTGGCTGTGGGCATGGCCTCTTCCCCCCCCCCCCCTCCTGCTCCTGGTTGCTGGCTGATTGAGCACACCTGCATCTCATCACTCTCATCAGGCTCTGTATATCTACCCCGGCTCTCCAGTCCAGATCATTCAGTCTGCTGCAGAGATGGCAGATCATTTTTGTGCTGTATACAAGTTATCGTTATTCCAGTTTGTTCCCAACATATCCTTACCGGTTTTGGAAAGTCTGCTTTTTTTATTTGAACGATTTAGCTCAGCACATCTTTCACAGTTTGTGCTTACAAATGTATTTATTATACAGTGTAACACAGAGACACAGAAATCAGGCCTTCCTGTTTGCAGAGCAACCTGGAGCCTGATGTGGGTCTTGCGATAAGAGCAATGTTTAGATGCGAAAGCAATAAAACATCAACACTGCGATCTAATTGGCCGAGAGCCACAGACACCCCAGGACCCCTGTGGTTCAGCCCTTGTTTCTATGAATCTCTATGCTTATCCCTCGATCTCGGTCGACAAGGGAGCTTGTCCCATGTGAGTCCCATGCTATTCTTGCCTTAATACAACCTCAAAGAAAGAATGAATTCATACACAGTAACATTATTACCCTAAATCTAATCAAATTCTGTTGCATATTCGAACGTGAGTAAAAGATAAACAATTTCATTTATCACCAGATATCAAGGTAAGAATGACCTGGAGAAAATGCATCAAAAACATTTGAGTCATCCCCTAAAACCAAGCTCTGAAATATGAACTTATCTCAAACACAGTGGCTTTATAACTAGTTGGCCACTAAGTTTAAGCAAATATTCATTTGCAAATGTTATTTTATTGTAAGACATCAGTTTACACTTACAAATCCTTCATTCTCTTCTTGCATCGTGATCTTCAGTGATGGGAAGACTGATATTATGCTTTTAGCCAAAATCAGTTTGTCAGCATTTGAAGGGTAGCTGAAAGCAAAATGAAGAATCTTGAGGCCAGAAAAAATAGAAAACTATAAAAGGCTTGTATAGAGATCAGAGAATACATACATTTATGTTACAATGCATTCATGAGCAGTGAATTTCACCACGGTTAATTACATTTGTTTGAAAAAAACTATCTTGTGATTACTTTAAACGGTCACATTAGTTTCCCTGAATATTAGATTAGATTAGAAAACTTTATTAATCCCCAGTGGGGAAACTCATTTTCCACCCAAAAACTCATACATACGACACAGTCCACAGTACACAACAGACAAAAACACATTACAAAGGATAAATAACACCAGACAATGCCATATAAAACATGATTAACATCAGAAAGATAAAAACCTCTAAAGGTGTTCATAAAAAAATCGGACTGCTGCTGGAACGAAAGACCTTCTTATTCGTTCAGCAGAACACTGAGGCATCCTCAAATATGTCCTGCACAATTTCAGAAGTATGAACTACTGTATTTAATTGTCACCAATGGTTTGATAGAAAAGCAAGATCTTTATATTCATAACCTCTAATAAAGGGAAACATTTAGAATTAACTCACAATCCCCTTCGCTGCATCAGATCAGACCTTCACAATAAGTTTCCTGGATGTCACGGAGAGTGTTCCTGATTTTTCATATTCGGCTAGTATACTTGCGGCCTTGCTCTCAATGAGCGCTGTCAGACTGGCTGCATCAAATCTGTGCACACCATCAATTTGTCCTTGACCATTCTGGGAAGGCAAATTACAAAACATATTCCATTTTACATGCAATGGTCCTAAACTTCTGACACAAACACCAACCCCCCACTATGCCAAATTGAACATTAGGTCACCAGACGTTTTACCATGGTATCGGCCCAATATCTGACACTAGTATATCCAACAGACACATACCTCCAGTTGACTACTTGGACGAGCTGCACCGGCACTCAACTGTTCAGCCTTTAAAAGAAAATGATGTCACCGCTTGAACAAGAGGAGTAATAATTGAGAAGATAGTGTTCACTGCCTTACAATATGGAGCAAAAGAGATCCAACATGCTTCCATGAGCAAAATAAATCATTTAACAGTTAAATCTTGGTATAGGATGAAATTATTATAATTATTATACACATCAGCCCAATATCTGATACTAGTATCTATGCATCTCTCAGACACATACCTCCCACTGACCACTTGGACCAGCTGCATCTGTACTCGGTGGTTCAGCCTTAAAAAGAAAATAATGTCCTGATTGATCAGGAACAATGTAAATGTACAGCTGCACATCAGTATCACACCTATACATTACATCTCTGTACAATAACAATATTCCAACTTGATCACTGTGTACATAACTATTTGGTCTGAAAAGAGGACAGGGAAAAAAAGGACGGTTAGCGTCTTGGAGAGAGACAGGTGTATTTCCATCTATAACTCTGTAGTCAGGTTCAGATATTCCTACTGTCTTACCCAGTATCAGCGGGATCTTGGCTTTCGCCTTAGTCTGGCACACGCGCAGGCTGGTTTTCGAGATGATCCGCGACATCTTTGTAGCCTTCACCTTCATCTGGTGGAGCACCACGGGCTTATTCAAATTTTCTAGGCTGACTTTTACAGCTCTTGCAATTTTTGTACGTTGGTTGGGCCATGGTCAGTCTGCTGCTCTTGGGCGGGGCCTCTCTCAAGTACTTGTAACGGACAAGATTTTTAACGGGCCCCTTCCCTGTCGTGGTTAGCAAGAGGTTGTTCTGCGGATTGAGGTCCTGGCAAAGCTTCGTGGGATCTGCCTCTTTCTCCATGCACTCTGAAAAGAGGACAGGGCAAAAGAGAGAAGAAAAAAAAACCACCTTCAGCAAGTTGGAGAGAGACACAGGTTTATTTCCATCTTTGTATTGGGCGTTGAGATATGCCAACTGTCTTACCCAGTATCCCAGGGATCCTTTCCCGGGACAGCTCCTGGCAAGTCCGGAGGCTGTCCCTGGTGATGAGATGTGTCGGTTTGGTCGCCTTCACCTTGAGCTGGTGAAGGACGACCGGCTTTGTTATATTTCTGAGTGCAGACCTCACGCTCCTGACCACGGTGGTGATTTGCAGCTTGGAGAGCCTGGACAGGGGGGGCGGGGTCTCTTGGAAGTATAACACAAACTGGAGGATAATCCTGAGATAGAAATTTGCCGTGGTCACCTGCTTCCCTGACGTGAGGAGGTGGCTGTCGTAGCTGCAGAAAGAAACTGCCAATTATTCGCTGTTCACATTAGTCTGGTGTCACAACTGCTCAATTTGCATGGGAAAACAAGGCTTACTTGCTGATGCCCTCAACGTTGTCCATAAACAGCCAAGTGGAGGTGTCCTTCCTCCCCCCCCGACAGGAAGGACTTGACCCTGCTGACACGCGACAGTGCGTTGCCCTTTTGCTTGAGTGATGGCACACTGCCCTGGTGGTATTGCTGGTAACCGTTGAGGTATGTCACTGTGATTAGAAATTGAAAATGATTTTTAAAAATGTAACATTGAAATGGAATCTTAAACCACACACACATAATGTACTTTTCCTTCTTACCAATGGATGGTGCCAGGGGAAGGTGCCTCATGCCAGGGCCTCTCCCGCTGCCTCTGAATGCTTCCGGGGTTTTAGCAGCACTACTCCCGGCATGGGTTTCTCCTATGTCGGTCAACTCTGGTGCAGGTTGCGTCACGCCGCTTGGCCTGGCCTCTTCCCCGGAGTCCATCCCCTCTTCTGCCTCCTGTTGTGCTGCTACAACTGGCCTTGGCTGAGAGAGGAAAAAAAAAAGAAATGCAGAGGATATTATTATTACTATTTTGACAACCAGTATGATGCTTCTCACCTTCCAGCCAGCCATACTCAGTTTGTCCCTGCTTCCTCAGCCTCTTTGCTAATTTTTTGGAGGTAGCCAGGCTCTTGGCCAACTCCAGCTGGAGGTGGCTGTTGGAGGCCTTGAGCTTCCGTTTCTCCTCAATACAGTCTGGGTCTCCACAGGGTGCATCTGCCCCCTCCTGCACCACCACCTCCTCCTCTTCTGGAACCTGCTGGGCTTCCTCCTCCTCCGGGTCCAGCGCTGTCATCAGGGCCGACAGCCCGAGACTGGAGACTTCTCAAATCTGATGTTGACCCCAACTCCAGCTGGAGGTGGCTGTTGGAGGCCTTGAGCCGGCATTTGTCCTCCACACACTGTGGGTGCTTCCTCCTGCTCCTCCAGGTCCAGCGACGTCATGACAGCGATGGCCGGGTTTGATGCCCGCAGTTTGGCCAGGAGCTTTATTGTGGCCGTGTAAAGGCGTTGAGAGCACTCTCATCAAGCTCCGGGTGTCCCTGGTTCATATGCTTGTCCAGCCTCGAACTGTCGTAACGACAGCCCAAGACTGGACACTTCTCATATCTTATGTTGACCCGGCCTGTCGCAAGGCCGAGCACCAGCTTGCACTCCGTGACGTTTTTAATAATATGGGAGCGCTTCAAGTGATGCAGCAGAGCCGCATACACCCGAAGGCACAGAGGGCAGCAGCTTGTTTCTTTGGGTGGTGTCATGTCTGTATTTGAAAGGGAAAAGAGACATTAAAAAAAACAGTTAAAAAATAAATACTTTCGAAAAATAAATACTTCTTAAAAAAAAGTACTTCGAAAAATAAATACTACTAAAATAAATACTTTATTGAAAAAATGAATATATTAACCAAAAACAAGCTTTATTGAAAATATTAAACTTATTTAAAACAAATTTATATAAATGTATTCAATAAAAACTACACTAACGATATTTTAGCAGTTTAACTTGGACTTATATCGCATCTAAATCAGTTAGTTAATGCATTATAAGCAGTGAAGCCCCTATCAAAAGCACAAAATGGAGGACATGAGGTAGATCCAAAAAGGAGGAAAAACGGAACAAATATGCGATTTGGATAATTGGCCTACATTCAATTAAAAATGATGAAGGCCTGAGTGATTAACTCTTAAAAGTGTTAATTAGTTCATCTCTCACACTTAAACCAGTCAAATCCGGTTCAGTTCACGCGGTCACTCATTAATGTTAAACCAGAACACCGGCGCATCTGGTTACAGGTTGTTTTTTTAACTCAAAGTAGAATGAGGATGATTTCGTGGTCAAAATAACTTTCATGACCACGAAACATGAGGCCCAGATACTGATGAGATGATGAGGTCAAAGAGCTTAAAGAAGAGGAGGCTGTTTGTGTAGCGCAGCTTGATGCAGGGCTGAGATGTGAGTGGAGCTGGGCCTGGATAAAGGTGGAGGTCTAAACAGACGTGAGTACAGCTTCCCACTGTCAGTGTTTTAAATACATTGATAAGGCAGGGTATGCTACATGCAGCCTCTGCTCCAAGGAGATGAACTACAGCAACAAGGGCTCACATGCCCTCTCATCACACTGCCAGACACTGTTCACTGTAATGACCACAGCCAGTGTACTAACAGTCCCACGTTGCTCTCAAGAACCCTGAAGTAATGAGTGTTAAGGTACCTTCATTTCAGCAGGTTGCTAATGCGTGTATAGATTACAACTATTATTTTACTCTTGAAAAGTTAACTTAGCCAGAGTAGATTATCATTTTCATTTAAATAATTGAACTGGGTTGAATGCATATTAATTGCAAATAGAAGATAGGCCACAATTCTAACAGCTGTACAGTAACAGTGGAAGTTAATATTAAGCCATACAGTAATAGGGTTCAATGAAAAATTTACACGACAAAAGGGAAAGCAATATGTGCACTAGCTGGATGCTACTACCTACTAAAGCTCTTATTGATGTGTCACTGTTATGAATGCCTGTCAACCAGAGTATATTTATAAATGTTTATTATTTTAATCAAACTATTGTCTCATTTGTTTGTCATTTAAGGTATACCGTATGCTTTGGAATTCTCATTGTTAGTTTAAATACATTTTCTCACTTTTTCATGTATACACCGAGATTTCACAAAATGTTTGGTCATGGAAATTTGGTTTAAAGTCATGGAAATCCATTGGTCAAAATGTGTATGAACCCTGCTGGGATAACCGCTTGAGTGTTCGAACCCGCTAAGCCCAAGCGCGACCGTGTTTAACCCAGTAGAAGACTCCGCTTAACTTGAACCAGCACACCTTTCATTCGATTGGCATGATAGTGACCAAGGGTCTTGTACCTCGAACGAGTCTCTCCTTCCGTGTATTGAATCGTGTGCGCTTCTTAAGGCTCTCTCTCTCGCCAGGTTCGTAGCCTGTCCTTCTGGTCCGTACAGAAGGCCTCCCCACCCTACTCCCACCAGTGGGTTTCGGGCTTAATCACAAAACAAAAAAACCCACACAAATCAATTGAACTAAACCCGAATCAAACCCATCTATTCTAAGCCCTCAGAAGTTAAATACCAACCTCCCCGACCTTACACAGAGCTGTTCCATTAAGGAAGAGCCCGGTGAACACCACCTCCCTACAGGCATGCAGCAGTCCCAAGTGCGCTTTCAACAGATTTTTAAAGAGTTCTTTTAAGTTTACTTGCTTGTTTTCATACAGCGCGTAGTTCCTCCTTTGGACTGCTGCATGCCTGGCGAAAGCGAGGAGCGTGTTTGCCTGGACTGCAATGCCCCCTCCGCCCTGCTTGGGGAGGCCGAAAAGCCACACCCAATGCCACTCAGTCAGTTGAGCTGCGCTTGCTCTGCAGCCGGTTTTTAGTAGTTGGCAGACAAATGTTTTAAGAGCACCGCATCGCAGGATGAGATTCTCGAAGTCTTCGTCCTCCAAGCCACAGACTGGACAAGTCCGCTGAAATTTAAGCTTGTGGATCTGATGCAGGACGATGCTAGAGTAGAACCTCCTGTGCCTCAGTTTAAAGTCCGTGTTGAATACTGCGTGAGAAATGAATGGAATTGCTAGATTAAACCAGATGGAAGTTATGGGTTTCTTTGGGAATATGGCTGCCCGTCTGGGTTCAGCGGCAGGTCTTTTAGTTAATTTTTGAATCAGGATGTTGTAAATTGTTTTTGTTTTTATTTGGAATAGTGAAGTGGACTTCGCCCCTTGGCACAGGATCATCCTGCATCAGAGTTCCACAAGTGTTCAGCGTACGCCAGTTTTTATCGACCCCTTGGGTGATGCTCATCCCCAAGTCTATGATTTGTTTGGTTTTAAAAACCCCTCCCGCCCTCTTCAGCCCCGTCAATGTTTTATTTTTATCGAAAAAAAAAATTCACCTCCTCCTCCTCCCCCACAGACACCCCCCAGCGTCGTCAGGCCCGCCTCACGGAGGGCCTTAGATGGTAGCGGTCTGCCCTTGTGGGAGAAGGGTGAATTAAGGAAACATGCTCTTTATATTCCACGTCAGGTCTAAGGTGGGGCAGACATTTGTCCCAAGCCTCCAGCACTTCACGGTAGAACCCCGGAAAGCCTCCTGTGACATTTCTGGGAGAGAAGGCGTACAAATTGTAGCTGCTTCTCTCACCATACTTTGCCAGGAGACCTGCCAAGGTATCTTTCCATGGGTGCTGCCTCTTCGAATCCAAAAACCGGCCTATCAATTTAACCCTAAGTCAGTGGCGGGCTGTCAGGGCCTGCAAGGCTTTCTCTGCTGGCCTAAACAGAATCACAAAGCTATATATATTTTATAATTTAAGAATTTTTCTTAGATACACTACATGTATTGTAATTTATAAAAATATTTTTCCCATTCTTATTTTCTCATTGCACAGCTACTGTCTTCCTCAGTTGCTCTGCTTCCAGTGCAGCTTGTTTTAAGTAGAGCTTTTATCCAATCAGATTTCACCCCTGTGTCTCTCGGTAAGAAGAGAGGCTCGAGGCCTGCAGACTCAAGTGAATCCCTTTGCAGTTTAAGTGAATGGGGACGATATTGTTGATTGTCATAGTGTTCAACCAATCAGATCTTTAGTTTGACATGTTGGGCATATTCTTTGACGTGTCAGAGCCTGCTAGCCGGCCTATAATGACGTCAGCATTATATGCCGCCAGTGTCTGTGTGTAGCTTTCCCGCGAGGTACAAAGTGTGCTGTGATTGGCCAATGGGCGAGCACGTGACTATTGTGAAACGAAACTTAACAGCCAGCAGAGGCTGATGGGTAGTGAATCACATCACGTGATGCAGCTCAGCCAATCAAAATTCATTCTGACTGAGCGAGATGCACCATGATAGAGGAACCTGAGCCGAGGAAAGACATTGCAGAGCAGTACATTCAATGCTCAAGTTGTGAAAGTAAAATCCAATGTTAATCTCTTTGGGTTGCGGCTTGTCATTAAGGAATGACTGTGGATCCCACAGCCAGACCAGCTGAGAACATTATATTTTCCTGAATTTAGGCTTTTGCATTTTCTAAATGCTCTAGCATTATTCAGATGACTCGTACCGAACGGTTTAATACGAAGATGTACATAGTTGCAGCCTTGAAAATGAACAGCTGTGGCGCCACAATGTGGATATAAGGTGGTATTTCAGCTGCAGGACAGCAGTGAAGGCCAAGGTATAAAATGCACGGCCCGCCACTGCCCCTAAGTGCATCTCTTTTTGCACTTATGTCAATTAGGTCTAAGCCCCCCTCCCTTTTTTTTAGAGATTAAAGTATTGCGAGCGATCACATTGCCCTGCGCCTTCCACAAGAAGAGATCACGCTGTTTAAAGAAATTAACGCCCAACTCGGCAGCTCGCAAGACCCCAAAATGTGGTTAATTTTAGACGGAACTAGAGCATTAGATACGATTACCTTCCCTCTTATGGTCAGGCCTCGGGCCTGCCACAGGTTGCAGATTTTTCGTGTTTTTGTAATTAGTTCTTGCCAATTCCTGTCCCTGGCTTTGATATCTTTCCCCATGTATACTCCCAGTATTTTTCTCTCCTCTTCAGTGATTTTAAAACCCCATTTAGCAGCGTCGGACTGATCTTCCTTGATGATCACGAGTTCTGATTTGGCTGTTTACTTTAGCGCCTGACGCCTTTTCATAATTACTGATGTGGTTCATAACCCGTTCATGTAAGTACTATTTTTGATGAATATATTGTCATCCGCGTACTGGATGACTTTGACCATTTTATTTCCCTCAGTATTAATTCCTACAATGCTGTTGTCACTCATGATGCTTAGGGCAAGGGGCTCTGCTACTACGCTATATAGTAGGGCCGACAGGGGGCACCCCTGCCTGATGGAACGCCCAAGCACCACTGGCTCCGTGAGGAAGCTGTTTATTTTTATTTTGCTCTCAGCTTGTTTGTAAAGGAGCTTAACCCAATTAATAAAGCCCTCCCCAAAACCATACTTTCTCAGCACCTCCCACATGAAAGCATGTTCCACCCTGTCGAATGCTTTTTCAAGGTCTATGCCCAAAAGGCATCCACCCTCTTTGGACATTTTGTCAACCATGTCTTTCACTGCGATAATGTTGTCGCTAATATCCCTGTCAGGGATGCTGTAGGATTGGGTTTCAGAAACAACTGCTTTGATCACCTCTCGTAGTCTGTTTGCAATTACTTTCGCAAAGATCTTGTAATCAGTGTTTAAAAGGCTAATCGGTCTGTAAAATTTTAGATTGTCTTTAGTGCCTTTTTTTTATAGATGAAAGTGATGATTCCTTCCATTACTGTTTTTGAAGTACTGTTTTTTAATTCCATTTCCTATAATACTTTCAATAGGACTGGAGAGAGCAACTCGGGGAAAGCAGCCGTAAAAGTCAGCAGTGAGACCGTCTGATCCTGGGCTTTTGTTTTCTTTTAGACCCTTTATCGCTGCCTCAATTTCTCCAGTTGTTGTTGGTAAAATGTTTTATCGTTTTCACTGATTTGAAGTTTGATCTGATTTGTCAGTTGTATTTAATTTTTTTGTGGGTATTGCCCTTTGTACAGACTGCTGTAATATTCGTGAGCTAACCTCAATAAATCACTGTTTTCAGGAAATAAATTGTTATTGTCGTCTTTCAGTTCAGTTATAAATTGCTTCTCCTGAGTTACTCTCTCCAGTCCGAGGAAAAAGGCAGTACTTTTTTCCCCTTCTAGCAGGAATAGAGACCTACTTCTGACGGCCGCTCCTTTGCAACGGTGGGCCTCAATTCCTGCTAGCTTTGACCTATAGAATTCATAGTTTTCACTTTTGTAGCTATTGTCTGATTCCATTTTGCCTATTTCTTTATTGAGTAAATCGTTGGTTATGCTCTCCTCCCTCTTAACAGCCCATCTTTTGCCCCTACTGTACTTAATAGTGACTTTTATCCTTAGTTTGATGTCATCCCAGTATGTAATTTTGTTTTCAACAAACGGGATGTCGTAGGCACATTGCGTCAGAAGATTTATCTTTTTTTTATATTCATTATCTTCTAGCAGGCTGTTGTTGAGACACCAAGTGCCTTTGCCTCTTTTACCGGTATTCTCCCCTAATTTTAAGTCCACATAGGCGTGGTCGCTCCATGTGTTAAAAGTGTATTTTACCCCGGAGGTTTTTTTTAACGAGGCCAGAGGCCGCCAGGACCAGGTCGATTCTGGACTGTTTTAAGACGCCCAGCACAACCTGTCTTCTGGAGAATACCCTCAACCCAGGATTAACTACGCGTCAATGAGATTTTTGCTAGTTATGAGGTCTTTAAGTACTGTTCTACTGGTATCACACTTACACTTGTCGTGTGAACTATCGCTATTGGTGAGGGTGATATTAAAGTCTCCTAAAAGGATTGTTTTGTTGTTGACCCATTTATGGAGACTTTTGAAAAAGTTTCTGCGATCCTCCTCAATATTAGGTGCATGGATGTTATTCAGATTATTTCGTTGTTGAACAAGCATCTATTATTATGCATTTTCCGTTGTCAGCTTTATAGATAACCTTACTGTTACTGCTGTGTTTTTTATTTATTAAGAGAGCTACTCTGCGAGCTCTCCCAGCCCCCTCCTGAGCAAAAACCTCCCCGCTCCACATTTTCTGCACGCATTTAAAAGTTGCCGGATCTCACCCAGTTTCTTGGAGGCATACGATGTCTGCATGCTTGTTTCTTTCTAGGACCGCTTGTATTTTTAAAACCACTCTTGTTGAAAGAGGTGATAGCGAGGGAGTCCAGAGCCATCAGGATAGACAGTAAGGTGAAATACAAAACCAAAAATAAAAGCATGACCTTATTTCTTTAGAACTTTCTTTCTGCTGCCGTCTCTTTTTAACAGGTCATAGTTCCCTTTTCTCACCGCCTGGACCTTTTCAACGTCCATCTCTGTGTCCGAGGAGTCCGGCAGCATCAGCGGGGAACAGTCGGCCATGCTGCTCAAGGTGTCTGAAGTCCAAAGAGGACCCCATCTCCGTCGTCACCTCAGGTCTAGTCAGCAAGCCAGCCTCCAGGCCCTTCGCCAACGTGTCCTTTCACCTCCCCTGGGACAGTCTTGCCACCCGGACCTTGTCTGGCTTGACCAGGCTCTGCTCTTTCAGCCTCGCGCTGACTCTCGGCTCATCTCCACTTGGGCCAAGCTGGCTGGATGGAGTCGCTGGCACCACCTCCACTTCTGCCGCTGTAGACTCTGATGCCGCCGCTTGCACTGCTGTCTCTGGCTCCACCGCTGCTGCTGCTGCCGCCGCCGCCTCTCGCGCTGCCGCCGGCGCTCGCGCTGCCATCTCTGGCCCCGCCGCTGCTGCTGTCACTGGCACCACCGCTGCTGCTGTCACTGGCACCACCTCGCTGGCTGCCTTCACCTTCCTCCTCCACCACCTCCTCCACCTCATGGCACACGCAGCTGTCCTGCGCCTGCCTGCACCCCATGCATTTCTTAGTTGTATTGTTTGTGCATTCTCTGGCGTAATGTCCTTGCACGCCGCAAGTGTGTCAAGAGAACTGCGGACACTCACGTTGGATGTGGCCGGACTGCATGCATATTCTGCATATTTTTGTTTACTTATCGTGCAAGACGCGGAAGTACTTTAAGCCCAGCGCCGGCGCGAACTTTGTCGAGTACGGGAGGGACTGGACGTCATTCAATTTCACCCGCACTCTTGTTTCACCTACTTTAAAACCCTCCATCAGGCGGTCCTTGCCCTTTGGATGGCTCATAGTCATTTCGAAGTGTTTCGGATTAATAACACGGCACGCGAGGATTGCACCCCACAGCCGCTGCACATGACTGATCAACTCCATGGTGCTCATAGCTGCACCACCCTCCGTCTCCACATTCACCGTAAGATTCTTCAGATCTTGTTCTTGCCTGTTCTCTACAGCTTGCGCGCTGTCCCCGCCTTCAATCGCCGTCTGGTTGTTGGGGTTATCCATGAGTGTCATCGTTGATTTGGTCCGGGTCTGGTTCACGGGTAAGTCTGTCATTTTGAAAAGGAAAGCGCCCCTCTCAGTGAAAAACCACGGGGATAGTTTGCAAAAGCGAAAACAAAACTTCCCCCCAATCAGTGTAACACTGATGGGGGTACTGCGCACTAACCCAAACAAATAAAACACAGAAAAAGGTTAACATTTAGCACATATGAAAACAAAAGGAGAGAGAAAAAGGAGGAAGAAAAAGCGTGCTTGCTCCGGAGATCAGCAACTCAACTGCTCACAGGTGTCTCAATCAAGAATGGTCAGAGAGGTATGGCCATAATCATGGCATGCTCCAAAAAGAGAAAAGTTAACAGCAAGACCAGAGAACCAAGAATCGACGAACTCTTGTAAGTTCATTCTGCCCATCATGTGTTCAGAGACCGTGACCTTTATTAAAAGCGGCAATGTGAAGCAATTACATTTTTTCTTTCTGTTAGTATTTTATTCTTAAATTCATATTTTATTTGAAATGGGAGAACATTATTATGAGAGTATATATTATTCATAATTCTTAGTGTGAAGGATTTCAGTATTAGAAATATTATTAGTAGGATTTAATAACACCCCTAGTGGTGAGTAGAAGTGTCACAATAAGAATGTCAAAATATGTTGAGTCACAAAATATTTACTTATGTTACTAATACTCTTACTTATAGAGGATATTATGTTACAGTATTTTACTCATTGAATGTATTAAACCATAGAAGTATAGTCACTAAAGGTATTAAAACACTGTATGAATAGTTTTGAGGGTCAGAAAGGGATTATTTTGAGTGAGGCTTTTCAGAGGTGCAGCAGAGAGAGGGACGGACAACTGACCAGCAGTCACAGGAGGAGGAGTCCGGACGACTTCAACCAAACACTGAGATGATAACTGCCCGAAGCCAGGAGGGGCTATTGAATTTCGGCCAATCACAGAGGCTGATACTGGACATTTAAACTTTAGGACAGGGACTTTTAAATATAGGCTTAGTTCCAGAGGGTTTTGCCAGAGTTCGTGCCGTTACCACTCTGGGGGACCAGCTGGGCTGGGCTATTTGGTGGGCCTTGTGAGAACATATTAATATCGATAGAGTAATTCAGTTTGCAACTGTTATAGCTTCTCTTGTTTATTAAATACTTTTTGATTGTAAACCGGATCCAGTTCATTTTTGGTGCGACTTCACTACCGAAGGTTTGCAGCAGCGAAAGTCCCATCTGGGTCTCCCCTGAAAAGGTCTAGCCCTAACATTAGTTTATTTTGAAAACTGACGATGCATATTGTTGAGATATTAAATTGGACTTTCTTTATTGGATTTGTAAGTTATTCACTACATACAGACTGTGATACAACTGCAAGGCTACTTCAATAATTATGGGACTAAATCATAGCACAAGTTAGACATTACTGTGATGTTCTGGACCTCTGCGTGAGGAAATTCTCTTTAAATGGACCTTGTTGATTTGTAATTGAATACCCCTGCTCTATAGCTACAACACAACCAATATAATCATTGTAACAATGCAAATATCATCACTGTGTATGTTTCAGAAGGCTGATTTGAAAAGAGAACCATATATACAGTATTTAAAGTCCTCAGTTGCTGAAACAAGCTTACTTAAAAAAAGGTTTGATTTTTTTACAGTTTGCCAGAAAATGTCTTAATCTGTGGCGCTCCAAACCCGTGTTGATCTAACTCATTAGCATCATTATTACCCAGCCTGGGGCTGAGATCTGGCACTTCTCCTCCTCTCTTCTTCCACCCATCTACTCACCGTACATTCTTCCCCCCCACCCTCTCTTCACCGGTGTCCCTCTTGGACACCATCATCCTTATTTTTTCCTTCCATCATCTACACACCGGTTTACACACATTCTCTGTCTTCTCGTTCCCAAGTTTCAAGGGAGGGATGGAAAAAAAATCCAGAGTTTGAAATGAGAGAGAGAGAGAAAAAGGAAAGAGATGAAGCAGATGTCTATTCAATTAAGAGAGTAATGAGCAGAGCGAGAAGTAGCTTCAACACACACACACTCTCACAGCGGGGATTGTGCTAGAGGGTCCGGTTTCACAGAGCGAAGAGACAGCAACACCTGGCTACCTTTCTGTACAACGTCCCAAATTAACGCTCCCTCTCCTCTCATGCCAACCCTGCTCTTTTATTCCTTCCTGCTCCTCTTCTGTATTTCAGTTTGTCCATCCTTTCTTTTCTCCTCCTTGCTTTGCTTTTTTGATCTTTGGTATTCTCAGTTATTCACAAGTAGATATGGCAAAACATTTTGTCCCGCAGTTCACATACAGTACACAGGCTGTTGAGATGTCAAACATGGCGGGTTTAGGAGGAGATGCGTGTCAGAACTATTCCTTGAAAAACAACAGAGTATGCATCCACAGGTTACATCCATGCAGCATCTCCAGATGCAGCGCGGTGCCAGGTACAGTCGCATGTATGGTCTTGTTACAGGCACATTGATACTAAATCTAGCAACTTCAAACGACTTCAGGAAGTTGAACAGTCACTGTGTTTGGCAAGAAACGTTTCCACTATAACCCCCTGAAAACACGGATACAACTAACTAAATACAACATGTTCTTCGGCTTTAGACGTGCTTGGTAAGTCTAGTTATATATTTTCGACAGCGTCGTTCAAGCAGTTTCCTTCTGCTTCCAGTCTTCATACTAAGCTAGGCTAACAACATCACATATATGTAACATGATCTCACAGAAATAGGTGGAATGACCACGAACTGTTAACAGCGCACTACGTGGTGGTGGCACGCAGCGTGTTGACGCCAAAGATATAATTTAACGTTAGGTTGTAGGAGAAAATGTAATTTTGCAATAACTTGACAACACATTACGGCATTATGACATGACGTGCCACCACCACGTGATGCGCTGTAAACAGGTCGTAGTCATTTAACATATTCCTGTGACACCCGGCTGCAAAAATAAGAGCTATCAATCGATCTTCTCTTATTCTCAGAAAGCAAGCACATGAGCACACAAAATGTTGAACTGTTCCTTTAAAGAAATTTGAAAGAGTTAACCTTTAGTACTGCTATGAAGTAGTCTAAAAGAGACAATTTTGAATTAAAGAACTTTCTGACCAGGGTTTCGATGGTACGGATTCCCATATGACGAATAAAACAATATGGATAGCAAAAACACCCCAAAATGGTTGCATTTAGAATATTTATTGCATTTGTGTTATTAAATTATTGCCGTTAGTCAGAACCGGAACCAGACAATGCTGCACGTGCGTTGGGGTGTTTACTACCTCGCTAACAGACTGGCAAAGTAAATGAAAGAGTTTGACTATAAAAAGTTTGACTAATCCCTCAACGGCACAAACAAACTGTGCAAAATGATTCAACTGACAAAGAAGATTATACTACATAGAGTTTTGTTACTGTAATGGAGCTTTTTTTCATTAATGTTTTAAGCTGACATATCACTGCATATATTTTCTTTATTACTCAAAATATAAGATGACAATGGCAACCATATCTTAAGTTTTGGTAACCAAAAGCCGATGCCTGGTTGTCAGCCTAGCAACCACTTTTAAAAATGAGTGTTGTGCCCTTTGCCCCAGAGAATAAGATTATAAATCTGACCAGCTCTCAATACACAATGCGGATCCATGCTATGGGATATTGACTCTTGTGAATATGAGTGTGTGTGTGTGTGTGTGTAAGAGAGATTTAGCAGGGAAAGAAAGAGATGTGTGTGTGGTAATGTGTGTGTAAGAGGAAAACAAAGCCATTTTGTGCTTCATGCTACTCCAGTACACTGTGAATTAATGTGCATTTCTACTTCCTTCTGGCTGTGTGTGTGTGTGTGTGTGTGTGTGTGTGTGTGTATTTCTCTGTGAAATATGATATGTGCAATCCCAGGTGAATCACCCTCTTTTACAATTTTATGTATTTCAGACGCAGCCTCAGTTAGGATCCTTCCAGAAGACAGACGCTATCCTATCCAGCCAAATAATCCTATTACACACTCACACACATATCGGGCACAACAGGACTCGGTAAGGGGCATCTAAATCCTTCAGAAATGGACTGAGCCGCAAAATAGATTCCCACAAGCCAGGAGATAATACAGATCAAAAATGCAAACACACACACACACACACACACACACACACACACACACACACACACACTTTTATGTACATATACCCATACTGCCACCATGTACACACACAGTCCCTCACGACCACACACTTTCTCTTTTCTGTAGCCCACACATACACACATA